GCGCTTTCTAACAGCCATACAAAATAATAGGTCGACTCTCACACTCAATATGTGAGTGCTTTTCTATATCATAGATAAGTTCATCTCAAAGTATATTATATTTCATTTGATAAGTTTTTGTAGACTCAGTTAGAAAGAGTGACATCATATGCCTATCGCTATCTCTGCCCACAACTATCGCTCCGACACTTTATAACTGGTCTTTCACTTACTTTCACTCACTTTCACTGCAACTCCTAATTAGAGGTCATCTCTGAGTCCAAAACTTTTATTTTAGTTTTCTATTCAATTTGGTGTTAAAAGTCACACATTATTCTCACGTATCGACATATCGGTGTCCAAAAGGATCTCTATTACCACTAATTATTCATTATTTTGTCTCATTATTGGTATATAATTAACAAAACGACCGGAATATTGAATACACTTTTAAATTTCAATCCACTACTCATTGTAAACGATTTGATTGCTTTGGCTTTTACTTCACGAAAAATCACTGATTTCTAAGTTTTAACACATTTTTAACATCAATTTTTGGTAAGTTTTTACAAATCACTTATTACTTATTTCTTGTCTTGTAATAACCGATATAATTGTGTCTATAATTTAATTTAAATATAACTATAATTTGTATTCTAATTGGGATGTGAGATGTGGGGGAGGATGTGTTGCATGAAAACTATATTCAATTTCTTGACATTAGTTCAGCCGTCAAATGATATAACAAATATTATGTATAGAAAAGTATTATTGAATTCAATAAATCTATTATCGGATTGAATGAGAAATCGTAGAATCGATAATAAAATATTTATATTGTAGTAAAAGTGTTGATTGTATTGATATTGGGATTCATTGAGAATATATATACAGAGGAAGAGAATGGGAAGGAGTTGTAAACATATGAAAGCGATGTCTTATGGATGGGAACCCGCTTTTAATGTTTGTAATGCAATACTTTAATAGAGATAATGCGGGACTAAGTATTGGTTATTAAAACTAAATTCAATATTCAATTACAAGACTTGCTTTCTTACACTCTGTAATGACTTTTTCCTGTTTTGTTTTCGCACTTCAATAATGAGTGGTTTATTAATAGATGTTTTTTGATAGATAGCAGACAAAAATTGTATAACACTGTCTCATTATAGCTATTAATTAATTAAAACTTTATGAAAAGAATTTCCGTATATTTTAATAGTATTTATAATGAAGAAAAAATTTGTTAAATTAAAAAACTTACGCAAAACACGTAATTATGAGCGTTTAGTATAACAAATAACAATCAAATAAATACATAAAACAGGCTTTAAATCTGGTTTTACCACTAATTGTATGCATGTTTTGCATGAATTGGGAAATACCAAAAGAAATGCCAAAATTTTCTGATTTAACATTAAGTGATGGCTTTGTCTGAAATGCACTTAAGAGGGTATTACTAAAAACAGACGTTTCTTTGGTTTTAGTGATTTTGTTAACTAAATAGTAGTAAATTTAGCCGAAAATGTAGTAAAACATCTATACACACATGTATATAAGCTATACATTATATAACCCTAAATAATGACCATAATTGTAATTCATTTACTCAATTCCTATTAATAATAAAACAATGTTTTGCACGCGAATCGAAAACAGCAATTCAATAGAAACGATGTGTTATTCATTAAATATAGGCTTCAATTACTTGAACGTAATAATAGTGAAAACAACAATAATTGCTTACACATTAAAATTGCTGAAAATATTGTTCTTGTTTTTTACCATTTTGTGTATACTAACAATTTTTAGTATTATGCTAATATTTTCGAGTGTAAACTTTGTAAAAAATTTAGTAGCTTTAAAATTTTTTAATTTGATTTTTTCATGTTATTATGTTTAAAATAAAAGAGTAGCTAGAATAGTTTTATGTAATATTTTTGTCATAGTATGCTTGGGATTGAGCACCTGTAGCACTCAATCCCCACAGAATCAATTCACGTAGAAAACATGTATTCCCATAGGATGTTAATTATCCACATTAAAACTCCAGACAGAATAAAATTAGATTCCTTTTAGAATATTAGCTTAATAAAACAATTAAATATAATAACGCATCTAAAATTTAACAAGTTAAGTTTCTAATTATTTAAGTAAAAATGTTGCCATAACTAATTTGACTAATCTATATAATTAATATAATATATTGTAATAATTAATATTGCACTTAAAATTGATAAATATTTGATCTAGGTGCATGAAAAGTAGATAAGTTAATAGTTGATTTATTGATTGTTTGTTATTTATATGTATGGTTTATAGGCTTATCGATGCAACCCTTTTGCCAGTATATAGACATGCGGTCCCTATTGATGACCACAAGAGGACAACTATTAATGTTAGTAATCGTATTGGCGCTGACCTGTTGTGCACAAGAAGTGATGTCTTCGCCGCGTTGTGTGGCTCTCTGTCACCGATCGGAAGCCGACTCCCTGTGCAAGAGATGTAGGTTTAGGGAACCGATGAGGTTTGGCAAGCGCTCAGACAAACAGTCAGTCTTCAGAGAGCCCATGAGATTTGGCAAACGGGTCAACAGTTATGGATATCAACACAAAAGATCCGTCACTTCATTGCCATTACTGAGACTATTAATGTCGAGAATTGAAGACAAGTTGAGTCCCGATTGAGAAAACACTAAATAATTATTTTATTTTCATTGCCATTCATATCATTATTATTTCATAGATTTTTATTTATACACATTATAAACGCATTTTAAAATTCAATTTCTATATAACGTTATGTGTTTGCAATATAAAAAATATTTGTTTAAATTTTTAAAACTTTTCATTTCACTATTTAATTCATAATTATTAGACAATATAAGTATTAATTAGTTTCTGTATTGTATTGTATAATATATTTTTGTCAAATATTCAAAAAAATGGATGAGAAAAATTTGAAATAAAGATTAACTTCATTGTTACTGTAATTTTCTATCAGTTATTTGATTTCAAATGATAATTATAATTATATCGTAGGAAACAATTTCTTTATTTAATTTTATTTGTGTAGGTATTGAGCGCTCACTTCATACCTATTCCCTCTTTCAGATAATTTAATACATATATGTATTTAATGTCAAGAAATCTGATAAAAATCGTATTAATCGACATTACATTACATCAGATAATTTTGTTATTCACTTATTTTTCACTTAAATCTTTCATTTGCTTATGAAAAATAGCGTCACATCTTTGGATCAAATGAAGCAAAAATGATTGAAAAACTATTATTGGATGTCTTTACGGTCTGTTTAAATATACCATGTGTTTATTTTAATGTATTATATTTTCCAATAAGATGCTTATTATAAGAACAATACTTTGTAATTCTCCATACTTTGGGGAAAATATACTTTATATGTATTATTACAATATAATTGTTTATAAATATAATCATTTAGTTATGAATTTAAAAGTAATCTCTTAATTATATGGACATATTTATAGTATGTAAATTTATTTAATTTATATTGTTAATCACATTGTTGAAATATAGTAAATTATTTACTAAATTATTTATTAAATTCTTTTGTAGCTATTTATTTAAACCCCGATAAAATTAATTCATATATCATTATAATTAATTATTAACTGTATTATAAAATGCATTGTCCATAATGTTATACAATAAATGTGTTTTCACTAAATTGTTTTCAAATGATTATAACAAATAACTAAGAAATTTTTAATCAATTCCTAATAACTGGGGTTTCGTTCAGTTTTCCAATATTTAATAAAAAATAAAAATTATATTTAATGAAAAAATTATTGTCTGATTCTATAGTAATACCGGTTTCTAAATATTATTGAAAATAATGTTCAGTTTTATGTGAATCGCAAACAAGTGTTTAATAAAAAACTTTTCCTATAAAATCAAGAATACAATTATGTAATCATATAATAGTATAACAACTTTATAACATGTCTTCTTGTTATAAACGCATTACTGAATTCACTGAAATGTATGTCATTTTTCACGCATTAATGTCTAATATTTTGTATATTTTTTTAATTATTAATCCCAATGTAATCCTTGTTTTTGAAATTTGTTGAGATCTTTCAAATCGAGACAAATATTTTATTAATTTTATAAAAGCAATGTTTATTGAATTGAATAAAATGTCAAAAACAATAAATATATTAAAATTTACAAAATTAATAATAACATGCAATTTACTGAAGGGTAAAAATATTAACAATTGTGTAATTTAAGTAAAAGTTTAATTAAAATTAAGTTAAAAATAGTTCATTTACAATAAGGTTTGCAAAACAATACAATAAGCATTCTGGAAATTTATCAATATTTTATTATTTTTAATTTTATTGTCAATTTTATGTTAAAATTGTTGCAACTTTCAACATTGTAATTTAACAAAGTTAAAATATTTTGAAAATAACTACTTTTTAATCAATTGTTAAATTATTTCTGATTTCCATAAAAAGCATTGTTTATTCATTAGAATAATATAAATCTCATAGAATTGCCAATGTTTTAACATAAGACAATAGGATCAACATTACCCATAGGATTTGCATTACCTTTAGATCTGACATTTCAATAAGAAACACATTACTTAAAGACTTAAAATGGCTATAGATATGACATGAACCTCACATTGCAGGCTTGCGTTTTATAAATAAAATATTCATCACCTTATGTGTAGGCAATGGCCAACAAATGACCCCTCAAAGTAGTTCATGTCTTTTTGACAGTGAACTATATTATATTTATTAACTATATTAAATATATTAATATATAGAATTTGAATTTTAGTTAATTAATATATTTGATATTTTGTAGTTATCGCTGCCATAAGGAATATTTACTAAACAGTTATGTTTTGTTATTGTTTTTGAAAACATATTGAGTCCACAATCGCTGGTTAACTGTTTATCCACAGAATTACATACACTTCTACTTAAAGATTTTGGGAAATTTTTTGTTGGTTTAAACGATTTTTATTTTCAAAAATACAGCGAATAATAGTTATGTTTTATTCGAAAAATATATGACTTTTATTTAATATTTATTGCATTTAAATGTGTATAAAACATGTGCCAAATGTATATTATATAACATATTGTTATAATTAGTGTAAGTTATGAAGAGAGTAGAGAAATAGAGAATATTCTCTACACATATATAAAGCAAAATATTTATACAGTCAAACTCTTATATAACATACTACCAATACTATACCCATTTCCTTATTGTAAGTCACTTTCCATTCGTATAATGTTAAAATAGTGTCGTTATTATCCCCTTATAATCCATTATAATCCTCAATTCCTTATAATCCCTTAACATATGAAACTCACATACATAGGAATCTTTACAACATTCAGTTCAATAGTATCCCTATTTTGTTAATCACTATTAGTATTATTCACAAAAAAGTGAAGAAGTTATTAAAATTCCATCAAAAATGTATCAATCAAACTAAATGTAGACTAAAACTCGTTATTAATCGTCTTTAAGACAAAGATTTGGTACGATATTAGTAATCATTAACAATAATTCATTGTTGAGTACAAATCCATTAGAGTTAACATATTATTCTCATATTTAGAGACATTTTCAGCAATTATGATGTGGTATATTATAACGTACTTCGACTGTATTTAATATACAAATATGATATTAGAGAAGTAATCGCGTGACGACTGGTTTGCAAACCGACGATAAGCTTAGTATTTGTTGTTAAGAGCAAAGGGGCCGAAGAGATCGGTTCCGTCGATAGCAGTGGTGACACCCGTTATATGCGATGCTTTACTGGAGGCCAAGAACTCGATGGTTCGGGCGATCTCTTGAGGCTCTCCGAGCCGTTTGAGTGGGTTGTGAAGCATGTGATCGCTTTCGTCGCCGACACCTACTCTTCCCGAAACATTAGGCCTCAAATACGACGGACTGTTTTGAGACACAAATAACACATTATTTCGCTATTAATAAATAGCATAATTAATTTTGCGTTTATATTTTCAATGCGATCATATCATTGACACAAAAATATAAAGTGTATTGATTTGTGTATTTATAAGCAATTGATATTCGGGTGAAATCATTGATAGTTTGCACGCAATTAGTATTTATTTAAACTGTATTTTTGGTAAATATAAGTCTTTTTGATTCATTTATGCAATGAATTTAAGTTTAGAGTTAGTGTTCGTGTATTGACTACATTGTGTCAGAATATAGACTTTATTATGACATCAATAAAACCCATTTCAATGCAAACACAACACAACAGTTACCCAAACATGAGGTTTAAAAGCATCACAGAATTTAATGCTTATATTCAGTGCATTCACTCCCACTCTGTGTTAGACATTGTTTTTGTCATTTTTTATGTCTTTTATTATGAAGTCTTGGAATTTAAATGAATAAAAATGTTTTAATTGTTGTATTCGCTGAAAAAATATCAAAATAGTATTCATTATATACCTAACAATTAATGCCTAAAATTATAAATTGGATTCAAAAAGGAAAACAATTTTTGTATACAAACTTTTATGGGATAAACAACTGTGTAATAAAATTAGGCATCTAATAATGGTAATAATGTTAGTAAGTTATTAACAATGTTATAACTTTATAATATAATATGTAAAGTTTATATGTCATTTATAAATAATATGTTTACATTCTTTTAAGAATATAACAATCAAAACATTTTTATTCTTTAAAATTCCAAAAATGTTCATTATTTAACACTAATTCAAGAATAAATAAAATATCACCTTTATCCTAAAACATTATCATCGTATATAATTTAAACTTGTTATTAATCTGGTATTAAGTTATAGATATGATATCTCTGCTCCCATTCAAAGGCATATATTTTTTGATACAAAAAGTTCACTAAAAATACCGAAATGTAAAAAAGACTGACAAACTATAACACAATTTTTTCAGCAAATTTTTTGAATAAAACAATTTAAAAATAAATACTTTTTTCTCAATTTTCTTTTGTTCAAAAAAGTTTTAAAAAGCAATTTTTATTGAAATAAATTGAATAAAACGATATAAAAAGTATGGATATATGAAAATATAAAAACGATATGACACTCACTTAACACTATTGATGCGAATGCCTTTGTGTTTGAGGTCGAGAGCCAGGCATTTGGTCATCATATCGAGAGCCGCTTTACTCATACAGTATAGCGAATAGTCTGCGACCTGTTTTCGCAACAAATCAAACACATTATACAAAAAAGCTAAACGAAAATACAATTGATTTGAATGTCAATTGTCTGGCATCAAAGCAAACCGGATTAGTGGCCGCCCGACTCGACACGTTCACTATACAGCCGTTAGTGATCTGGAGGTGAGGGACAGCCAATTGGCTATACATTGAGCGATCAAATTAATAACAAAACTATGTTTAGTACTCGTTTCCAAATCAATGAGTTTTGACTATTTTTTTCTCTAATAAAAATTTATCGAAAAATTTCATAACAAAAATTGATTACCAAAGAAGAAAAACAGAGCGAATGTTGACATTCATTACATGATTGAAAATGTATGCGGACTTCGGGTCATCAATGCTGGAAATGCCGCAAACATTTGCGTTGTTCACCAATACGTTTAGTCGTCCGAACTCTTCAATGGTTGTCCGAATTAGACGCCGAATATCGGAGTCTTTGGTCAGATCTGCGATCACTTCAATCACCTGTTGTGGTGTCGATAATAATTGTGAAAAATTACTTTT